TAACCGCACTTCGCTTTCAGCTCAATCATAGTCAAGAGCTTCCAACTTTTACTAATTTCTGGCTCTATCACGTCTTAACCTTTGCCACCTGGTTATCAACCTTAGTGGTGAAAAGGGGTGTAGGTGGTAAAGTCCATAGTGAGGGTGAAGGTGATAAAGTTAGTTCAGGTCAAGATGAAGGAGGTGAAAATGGTGAATCTCAAGGTGCTGAAAGTCATTGTGAAGGTCAAGTTGAAAGCAGCAAAGGTAAGGAGATGAAGGGGTCAAATGTGGTCAAGGTGAAAATGGAAAAGTTCAAGTGAGGATGAAAGTGAGGGAGTAAAGGTGATACAGGTAAAGGTGAAGGAAGAGAAGGTAGTAGTGAAGTTGAGGATGAAGGTAGAGGTAGTGAATGTGATGTTGAAGGTGGCAACAGTGGAGGAGGTGGGGTAAAGCTGTGCAGGTCAAGACGAAGGAGGCAATGGTGGTGAATCTCAAGGGGCAGGTAGTGAAGGTGAACTTTGCCAGTGAAGGAGGTGGTTGAAGGTCAATGTGAAGTGGCCACGGTGAAAATGTAGGTGGTAAAAAGGTGAAGGTGGTAAGGTCAAGGTGAAAGTGGTTAAGTTCAAAGTGAGGGCAAAAGTGGTGAAAGTCAAGTGCAACAAAGGTTGCCGTGGATGAGGAAGAGTGTGAAGGTAGTGTCAAGAGGAAGGTTGCAGCAGTGAAGGAGGTGAGTGAAAGGGAAGGCAATGAAGATCAAGTACAGCGGTTCTCAACCTGTGGGTCGCGACCCCTTTGGGGGTCGAACAATCCTTTCACAGGGGTCGCCTAAGACCATCGGAAAACACATAATTACATATTGTTTTGTGATTAATCACCATGCTTTAATTATGTTCAATTTGTAACAATGAAAATACATCCGGCATATCAGATATTTACATGGCGGTTCATAACAGCACCATGACAGTTATGAAGTAGCAACAAAAATAATTTTATGGTTGGGAGTCACCACAACATGAGGAACTGTATGAAAGGGTCGAGGCATTAGGAAGGTTGAGAACCACTGATCAAGTAGCAGGTGGAAAAGATAAAAGATGGTGAATATGAAATTCAAAGTGAAGGTGAAGGTAGTGAAAATAGTAAAATTGTGGTGGAAGGTGATGGTGGTGAAATGATCCAGGTGAAGATATAGGTGGCATCAGGGAAGGAATTGGGTGAAGGTGGTGAATTCAAAGGGTAAAGATGATGAAGGTGAAGGTGCTAAAGGATAAAGTGTAGATGGTGAAAATGGTAAGGAAGGTG